ACTATTAAACTCTTTCAAAAATATATAAAAAAAGTGAGATCACTAGTAGAACATATCAGTAACATGTAATATTTACTTAAAAAAATAATTTTTGTTAATCGATATTGTATGATAAGAACCAGCATCTTAATTAATTTTCAAAATGTATTAAAATATTATCGTAATTTTAGTAGCATCGCAACCAGGATATAATATTGAGTATTGAACTGAATCCAAATTTGGCAGGATAGGACAGAGCAAAACGGAACGGCGCAGGCCAGGCGGGACGAGGCGGAGCGGGGCAGGGTGGGGCGGGGCGAGGCGGGGCCTCGTGCCGGAGGTACAAAGGCGAGCGGCGGGGAGAGCCGCGCGGCGTTGCGACGCGTTGAGTCAAAGGGCTGGAACGGGAGCCCGCGGCAGGCGGGAGGGTGGGCGGCGGGGGGCAGGGCGGAAGGGCGGCAGAAGTCGGCGCTGGGGGCGGGCACGGGCCGAGATTGCGTGGACGACTAATCGCGGGCCCCCGCGCCTTCATCTATCGATCGCCGCGCCCGCCGCCCGTCCGCCCACGCGTCAAGCAGGCGCGCGGGGCGCGAGCCTAGGCGCGCGCGGTCCAATATTCTCCCAGGGAATTCCACCCCGCATTCGGCAACCTATTTACTTTTCATTCATTGTAAACGTGATAATTAAAGAAAAAGAATCAAGCAAATACATTTTAAACTTTTAAAACATTTTTCTTGATTCTTAAAAAAATAATATTTGAATATTTTAAATAAACAAAATAGGACACTGGATAAAATGTTTCTAAACATAACGTTCATTTTAAATAAGTAAAATGAACATTTAGTAGACAAATTTACATACTATTTGCTAACTACTTTCATTTTTTTGTTTCGTTTTCAACACAAATTTTTCAAGTACTACACTTTAAATACAGATATTCTATATATTAATGTTTTTTTTGTGTCAAACAAAAGAGTAATAATAAAACCTTTGTAAATATATTTATGTATAAAATATATAAATTATTAGTGAAGTGTTAATTATGAACATATAGCTTCTGGAACATATAGCACTACTGCAGATAAACAAAATATTCTTAACATATTTTTATTTTATAAAACATATATATTAAATATGTAAAACGCACACGAAATATATTTCATGATTTTATTGTATTCAATCATGTTATTTTGGTGAATAATAAATGTGACCGATATTTATACATGAATAATGTAACGAAGTCACAAAACAAAGTTTCTGAATATATTCAAAATATGTTCTCCAACTTTAATGTTTAAACATACTGGCACTATTTAAATTATCACTGAGGTGCGAGTCAGGTTTAACTACTGACATATTGCGTCACTTTATAATACTTATATAACTTTGTATTGTAATTTTGTATAAATTTGTATTGGAATACGTAATGCAACGGAACCTAAATATCTTACATTTGAAGGGAAAAGTAAAAATATTGATTTATCGAATATTTCTAAGAAAAAAATGAAGGTTCTGAGGTGTAATTAAAATATACCCAAAAAGTGTGAGAGAATAATAATTCAAAAAACCAAGAAATTGGAGTCATCGCAATTCTAATAGCCTGGTTTACATCCTACTAGATATTCTAGAAATTCTACATTACCTCGAAGCATTTTAATTCATTGCCTCCAGCCGCAAAGTGAACTCCTGTGAACTCCGGCGCCCGCTCCGACCCCCTCCCTCCCCGCATCCTCCCCCGGCGTAGTGCGTCTCCCAGGCACGCCGTCTGCGTGCGTGCGTGTATGCGTGTGTGCGTGCGTACGTGACCGACGGGCCTCGCGCGTCCGCAAGCTGCGCAGAGCTCCCGCGCCACGCAGAGTGAGCGCGGACAGCGCAGGCGAGCGGCGGCGGTTGCGGCCGTGCGTTGGTGGCGTCAGATACGTTAAAATGCTCGCCCCCCGTCCGCCCGTTCGGCCCGCCCGCCTGCATCGCGCTGGGTTGCCGGCGCGGAGGAAAAACGGGAGAAAAAGTGAGCGGGAGCGGAGCGCAGACGACAGAGGAGGCGTTGCAGATGAGACGAAGAACGTTGTGTGGGGCAGCGAAAGGCGGGCGACTGAGAGCGAGAGCGAGAGCGAGAGAGAGAGAGAGAGAGAGAGAGAGAGAGAGAGAGAGAGAGAGAGAGAATGATTTAACTTGAGAACAGAAATAGAGAGCTGCTGAAAAAAAAAGGGGAACTGGCGAACTTGGAATAGAGCGAGAGAGTGATGAGATGCTCAGAGGCGGATTCAGCCAAGCAATGAGGGAGGGGCATTGTAGATTTTTGTTAAATAATAAACAAATTTGTTATTATACTGGATATTATTTATGTAATGTAGATAGGATATTACACAATATTATTGTTAAAATAATTACTGTCATTCGAACATAAATATTTAAATAAATTTTGCCAAATAAAGGAAGGTAAACGATAACACTGAGCCTTTTGGAGTTCGCTACTCATCAACTATGAGAATTTTATACCGTCACGATAAAATTATTATTATTAATAATAATATACAAAAATTAATGTTTGTTTGTTCGTATTTTATGTATTGTCATACGGTTCATCCGTTTGTTGTAAAACTCCATCAATTTATTATTTGCACTTGCGCGAACAATTTCGGCATAGTACAATGGAAATGTGCGAATGTTTGTCGCACATAGCATAAACGCATGATATAGTCAACGCGTGTCTGACTCAATCTCCCTTAAACAGAAGTTATATGCAACCCGTTGCACCCGCAAGTACTAAGCTCGTCTTCGCTGCATATTTTGCTCCTACAATTGTAAAATATCGGTCGGAATTATTCCTCGAACGTTATCTCGGGCAAATAAAACAAATTTCTTCAAGATTTGAGAAGCGACGTTTTAACAATAGCATACTTGACAAACATGTCGAAACCAGGACATGGAACAAAATCAATATTCGCGAGAATGTCTTTCACATATTAAAATTTTTGCAGAGAGTACCGTCAAACGTAATTAACAATCACGTGACCAGAAGCCTGTGAAGTACATTACAATAGCGAGGCTTTGTCTGGTCCACTAAATAATAATAATAATAATAATAATAATAATAATAATAATAATTAATAATTTTTGCCCATCCGGACAGCCGAGATCTCAAGCAGTAGTGGAAGGATCACGGGTTCAAAGTCCCACTCGGCAAGTGATTGTGTAGTTTGTGTGTGTATCGTCATTATCATCCTTTATTATTTATATTATTATTATTATATTATTATTATTATTTATTATTATAGATTATTATCATCAGATGATTATTCATTATTGTTATCATTATGATTATCAATCATTCATCATTTTCATTTAGCATTACTTTAAGCTCATTGTTGAAATCGTATTATTTTATCACTAAATATGTTTATATCAACTATTTAAAATATATTTGAAAAATCTTTTTCTGAGTTAAACGTTGTCATTTTTGTTATTTGTTGAAATAAATAAAATAACTGATATAACTATAAATTTAATGTATTGAATTATAATATTTTCTTTCCCGGTCTAGTGAATTACAAATTAGGGGAATATAACTCCTTCAATGTTTTCGTACGTACTATTCCATACGTACTATTCCACATCACCTTTTCAAAAAATCAACCCAGAGAAACTTTAAGAGAGACGCGCCCATTCCAT